CTAGCCGTCTGACCGATTTTTTCTGCCGATTTGTGCAAATCAGAAGCGCCCGGGCACCGCCTAGCGCCTAGGCGCCGCCTAGGCGACCGCCTAGGCCGATTTCTTGAACAGTGGCAAAAATGGATACATGTGTGTGGTCGAGATGCAAGGGGAAGTTATCCATGAAGTTCACGTTGCATTTTAAAAAAAAGAAATACAATAGGCTGCACATTGTTTATATGGTTGCAAATAAAAAAATGTTTTAGCATTGTCTTAGGATGTGACGGGATATATATACAAAACCACAAAAATGCTTTAGCACTGTCCTAGCGTGCGATTGAATATTATAAATATAAAACAAAAAGAATAATCGAAACCAGTCAAGATTTATATCAATCACATAATTGTGGAGTGCTTGATACAAATATTTATCCGTTGAAAATAAGTTGTTTTTTTTTTTTTAATCAGAATTAATTTTGAAAAAGATTGTAAGTTAATTGTTAGTGAGATTTTGAGTTTATATTAAAATAATATTTAAAATAAAATAATTAAAGTTATTTAATTTAAAAATAACAGAAAGATAATGTGAAGTGATAATTAACTACAATTATGTGAGTAGATCAACAATAAATTAAAGAACTGAAAAAAATTATGAACAAACACATCTTTGCCTACAAAGCATAATCCTCTCTATATATAATTCCCGAATGTGATGAGCCTAAGTGGCAGACTCGTATGCTTCGGAATCCTATGTGTCAAAATTTCATTCTTTGTTATTTGGCTTGGATAGATTTTAATTTAATTTCAATCCGAAACTAATTAGGTTCGGATTACCATAAATATGTTGATTTATTTATGATCATTTTATATGTATTAATTTGTATGTTAATATCATTTCCTATTATAACAACTGAATGTAAATGTATTTTAAAAGTTGATAACTTTTGTATTTCTTATCGGTTTTACGTATATAATGTATAAAATTAATCATCTTTTGATGAGCTTCGATTTGACTTCCATATTGTATATATATAAAATAAATAAATTAATTTATCTTTACCATAATAAAAAAATATTTATTAAATTAATTAAAAACTAATATTATTTCTCAATTAATATATTCGTGTTTAATATAGTTATATGTTATAAGTTAGAAAAATTATTATAATATAACATATGTAAGTCGCACAAGTAACAAATGTCATACTAAAATAATATATATATATATATATATAAAGTATTTAAATTTTTAACTATTTTTTCTCATTAATTTTAAATTTTAAGTAAAAAGTTTAACAAACACCCGTGTAATACACGGGCGTTGTACGAGTTCAAACCTGTTAACAAATGCGTGTAGCAATTGAAATTGAATGTATCTTTCGGTGGCATGCATAGTAGTAGTAATTGGGTACCCATTTTTCCACAATATTAATTTAGCGTCGGCCAATTGACGGGTAGGTACTTTTTGTGGTCTGTATAAGGTTTCACACACTTTGTGGAGAAAATTAGGCTGTGGATGAAGGATGTGAGTTTTGGGTAAATATCTAAAACACTTGTTGATCAAAATTCATAAGAATACATCTTTTTTGTTTTAAATTGACGGTGGAGATGAATTCAACCTACGTCGTCACTAGACGTGTCATCCGATGCCACCTTTAAGGGTAACACTCGCAACCGTAGAACAAAGGACAGAGTGTTTTATGATTTTTTTTCCTTTTTAACATATAAAACACTTGTCCTTCATCCAACGGATGAGAGTGCCACCTTTATGAGTGACATCGAATGAACTCTACACGTGGGGCTTTGGTCACTGTATCTGTTGATATCTCCCCTATATATTAATTCAGAACACGCTGAGCCTGCGTGGCTTTTTCTGGTGCTTCAAAATTCTATTTGGCAAAATTACATGCTTCGTTATTAGGCTTGGATAAATTTTATTTTAATTCCAAACTAAAAATAATTAAGTTCGGATTACCATAAATATGTTGATTATTTATGGTCATGTTACATGTATTAATTACATTTTAATATCATTCCTTATTATAACTATTGAATTGAATATATATTTTAAAAGTTAATAACTTTTGTATTTTTTATCAGTTTTACATATGTAATATATCAAATTAATCTTCTTTTGATGAGCTTCGATTTAACATCCATATTGTATGTATAACAAAAATAATTTATATTTATCTTTATAACAATAATAAAATTATTTTTAATATTAACTAGAAAAATAATATTATTTATCAACTAATATATTTATATTTCAAGTAGGTAATGATACAAGTTATAAAAACTAATATAATATAACACATGTAAGTCATAAGTAACACATATCATTCTAAAATATATAGTAATATATTTTTTTTTTTTTTTTGTAAAAAAGTAAACTAAATTTAATATAGTTTTCTCATTAATTTAAAAATTTAAGAATAGTTTTTTAACAAGCACCCGTGTAATACACGGGTGTTGTACTAGTTAAGTGAATTATATGTGAGATTGGCCCAAACCATAATAAGTAGATGAAATGAATGTATGTGAGATTGGCACATACTAGATGAAATGAATGTGGTAATTATTAGGCTAGTAATTGCTCTAAGTATAATTGAAAGTGAATGTTTATTTTATATAGCCATATCTATATCTCTATCTATATAAAGAGAATAACCATCTATACTTATATTAAAAGTTATACTATTTACTAAATGTAGTATGTGGAATAGTCAACTTTAATTAATGATTTGCTATTTTTATCAAGCATTTAACTAATGTATCTAATAATTTTGGTATGCAAATCAAATTAGCATTTAATTAATTCCTAAAATATTGGGTATGCAATATTAATTTAGGAATATCCATGTAGTTTCTAAAATGTTGGTATGCAATGCGTAAAAGAAAATTTTTTAATTTTTTCTAAATATAAAATATTGCAACACGTAAAACTATTCCAGTTATTTTTATTTTATTTTACATATATAATCTAATCAATATTTAATGCATCCTACAAAATTGGATTTAG